TGAGGGCTCTGAAAACCTGTTATATTATGAAATAGCTTTCCTTCTTCTGGACATTGCATGTTTTTCTTCCACCATACTTTTCCTTGAGCAGGAAGCAAAAAGATGTCTTTTATATCTTTAGATATAGACATAAATAAGTGTAGAACTCCAATAAAGCAACACAGATAGGAGGTTAAGCATTTGTTTGGAGATTTTGTTTGTAGAGGCATATGCAAGTTACTTCAGGCAATGGGGTTGGACTGAAGAATATATGTGGCAATAATGAAAACAGGACTCTTGTCTGTGCAGTAAGCAGTGGAGCTCAGTGGGTAAAAGCAGAGGTGTTTGAAGTCACAATGACTGAAGGTTCAAATTCCCAATTTTCCACTTAGGAGCTGAGTGAATTAACTCCTTCAAGTTTCAATTAAATAGTTAAACAGTTCCTGCCTCATAGGGTTGTTACAAGAAATAATGCATTAAGACACTTAGCACAATCGTTGGCTTGTTGTAATCACTCAATGAAAGTTGGCTGCTGTTATTATTATTGGCTGCCAAGTAATTGGCTGATGGTGCCATATAAATAGAGGATGAGAAAGCAACTGCATATAAAATCACAGTTTCACCAATGATGGCTTAGTACTGAACTCAAACAGTATTTAACCATGTTTTAAAAGCACACAATTTGGGGGAAATGTTGATTCTTTAAAAAGTCAATCTCTAGAGGGTCATAAAAGTTATTTTAATCACTACAACTAATTACAAGGAAGTATAAATCAATAAACTTTGCTAAATGGTCTAAAATATAATAAAGAAAACCATCCTTAACAATTATCCAGGAAGCTACTGTCTTTAATAGGGAGATGATGTGAAAGTTGGATGAGGAGAATGAGTTTTATTATTTGAAAACTCCAGACGTTAACAATGCTTTCAGGGAAATTCTGAATTTAGTTCAGAGTTGTGGCTTTTCACGGTAATTATTTACTTTATGAACTTGAGTTTATTACTTCTCAATTATGTGTGTCCTAGACATGCTATGGAAATAAGTGGCCATTTGCAGAAAGGTATTCTCTTCTCTTAGTGTTTTCCCCAAACTTTGATTTCAAAACCAGCCCTCTCTCCATTCCTACTCCCAAAGCTGCTTCACTTTTTCAGAGCCTCCATCAAAGATCAAGACGGGAGTCAAGCTGCATTTGGAAAGCCTTAGATCTCCTCTCCCAGTCCTGTGTGGTGGTTATGGCCCAAGTCCCAGAGCTATCACCTGATCTCTCAAACTTACCTTGCTGCCCCCTCTGGCTACGACAGCCAATGCCCACATGGGTTCCTAAGCCATGCTGCTCTCACCTTGGCCCATTGAAGCAAAATGAAATGTCCACATTCTTTGAGAGAGGGTTTAAGTGATAACAGTGAAATGATCTTCTCTTGAGATTGGCTCAAATAAAAGAAATGAAATCCATTTACTCATTCAGCAAAATGTTTGTGTACCTGTTACTTGCCAGGGACTGTGCTCAGCACTTGGGGGATGTACAGTGAGATGAAACAACATCCCGTACCCCCATCAGGTTTTTTTGTGTGCACCTTTCCACAAATGGAAGAGTGTATGATTACAAATTGTGGGGGTTATCTATGGGGCACCTTGTAAGATGGTCAGACTTGAACTTTGTGTGCTCACCTCTGTAGAGAGAAAGGATCCCCCTCCCCCCTCTCTGTTTGTTAATCCTCACCCGAGGATATTTTTCTATTGATTTTTTTAGAGAGAGTGGAAGAGAGAGGGAGAGACAGAGAGGAACATCAATGTGAGAGAGACACATCGATTGGTGACCTCCTATAACCAAGGTATGTGCCTTTGACCGGGATCAAACCCAGGGCTCTTCAGTCCACGGCTAGGGCAAGGAGCCCTTCCCTGGACCTGGAGTCAGCTGAGAGTGCCCCATTCAATGACAGTTGTGTCTCCTTAGCACGCAGATGGTGTTCCTCTTCTCCGGCCTTCCTCCCTGCCGACCAAGGCTGTCTTACCTCTTGGCCTTACATGAAAGAGGTCCTATCTGCTTGACCATAGCTCCTGTAGCTAGGAGAGTTCTCCCTCCGTTTCCCACAAACCTGAGGCTACGTTCCTTGCTCAAGCCAAGGAAACTGGGATGTGATGTCCCACTCTCCTTGCCTATGGCAAAGAGATAAGCAATTACTCAAGGCATTCCAAGGATCAAAAGCATTAGTCTGAAATGTCTGGTCTGTCCCTATAGGAAATGCTGTATTGGTTAGGGTAGGATTTCTGCTTTGATTGCTAGTGCCTTTCTGATCTTATAATTTCATTTGGAATGAAAATGGAGAATTTTGTTTGCATTGCCTGTATTCTTCATTAGCTAATAGCTGGGTTGACCTTGAAATTTTGACATGACAAAATAGTCAAAGTAAAGAGCACAGCGTTTTTCTGCTGTCATTTTGTGCAACCAAGAATTATTTGTCCTTCTGAAGAGTGGCTTTATTTTTAGCCCCATGCAGTGCTTTAGATGGATGTCCTGTCTGTTTCCACAACGCAGCTCAGATAACCCAATCACATCCAGTTTTAGGGACAAATTCTTTTTGTTCCAACTTAGAAGCATCAAGCTTTGCAAGAATAGAGAAGATATAGTCACTCTCGTTAATGAGAAAATATATGGGTAAGCGATGTTCCCATACCACATGTTGGATCTCTGACACTTTTGGGTTTTGGTGTATAATTTCATGGTTGCATGGAGGACTGTTAAGCTCTGGTGCTTCTAAGGAATAGACTCAGTCTGATAAGACATCTCAAATGATGGGGAAACTCTAAGGCTGTAAGAATAAAGATGATAGGAGTCTCCTAGCACTCAGGGGAAGATGCACTGCGGGTCTCCTATGGAGCCTGGAATGTAGATGGAGAATTGGAAGGAACCAGTGTGGTTTCAGCATTCTCAGTAGCAGAGGCCAATGGTCGTACACACTTGACCATTAACTCAGTTCAGAGCTATGCCATGGCTAGTAACTCCAGGCTCTCAGACATACTTGCCAAGTTATCTGGTTCTCATTTCCCTTTTGCCACAAGATCATTTGCTGATCTTGGCACTATAGACTCTGAGCCATTTAAAGTTGCAATTGGAAAGAAAAAAAAAGACATTTCAGGCTTGTTTACACTGCCAGTTGAGGAAGCTGCAGGGCAAAGACCTTAAATTCATCTGCAGATCTCTTAGTTCTCCCCAGAAATCTCTAGCCAAGCTGCTGCTCTTGCTCTGAGAAGCTATCTGGTCCCCGAGTTTGCATTGGGTTCTGCAGAAAAATGATCTCTGCTGTTCCCTGGTGGCTGGTCATGAAGCCAGGTTTGTGTCCTCCCAGATAATTTTCTGCCACCTTTGGTATTATTGGCTTCAGTTACAAAGCTAAAGACATTGGGCTTCCAACCCTATATGAAATTTAAAGTGTACACAGGAGAAAATGCTCCGTCAACATGGCTGTCCAGTTACTCTCCCTCCTTCATGCCCCCCCCCTCCACCAAGCACAGTTGCCAGTCTTAGAAATGTGTGACATATCTGAAGGGCTATGTGAGCCCCCTACCTAGATCCAGGCTTCTCCTGGAAGAACACTATCAGTATCAGTATCTTCAGATTATTTCCTGCTAGTCGTTGCTGAGAACCCATCCTCAGACTCCAGGACTTGGTGTACATCCCTTCTCTGACCGGCTTCCCATTCTTCATAGGCTAGGATGAAAATCACCATGAGTATCCCTCCTTTGATTTTCTAATGTGGCAGCTAAGGATAAAAAAAAATTATCTCAAGGATAAATAGTGAAGCTTTTTAGGATAATTCATGATAATGAAGATGGTGGAGGGAAGTATCAAATATCACAGTGATGCATTTTAAACCTCTTTGGAAATCTGTCCAGGGATGCCATTGGTGAGATGCCTCTTTGGTTAGGAAGGTCCTTGCCAACCTCAGCGTAGAAGGTCATCCACAGTAGACTCTGTGCAGCCCCGCACTACCTGAGCAATCCTGGCCTCAAAGGAGTCATCATTTGGGTCCTTCTATTTCTCTGAAAGGCAGGATTTTTGGCATAAATTGATCGCATGGACTTTGACTCAACATCACAGTAAGGAGGAAGGCACAATATGAACTCCATGGCCAACATGTCGGAAGACCTAGCAGGAGTTTAGAACATTCCTTTACCCATATCAGGGTCCTAATGTGATGGGAGGACTCCAGCTGCAAACAATGGCCAAAGGCTAATCTAGACTTTAATAATCATTTTGGAAGGAATACTGTTTTCAAAAATAATTTATTCAAATATTTTATGCCAAAATAATTCTAAAAAGTATGTTTCTGTTAATTGACCCCAAGCAAACGTGCATTTGACTACATGAACACAACTATTATTTCATAGTGTTTTTTTATTATAGACTTTTTTTTATCCACATGAATGTTAAAGAAACTACAACAGAGTTAAATACCATTTTTGATAACATGATTATATTCTTAATTACACTCAATATTAAACTGTAAAATATTTCCAGAGGAATACAATCTTCATTCATACAGCAGGCAAAGTACCAGAGAGGAAGGGGCCACGTGAAAGTCCGTCCAGTTTGCTATGAAAAGCAGTTTACACGGCTGATGCCATCCTAGCTGTCGAAACGTGACCCCCACTCCAAGGACAGGTTTTGTGTTTTCTTTCCACAAAGAATCACTTCTTCAAAAGTTACAGACAGTCTTTAGAGCTGCCCTCTCCACGAGTGCAACACTGAGCTCACTTGGGACCGTCCATGAATTTCCCACCCTGGTTGGCTAACAGCACTCCCAACGCTCTGGGTTCAGTTGGCCTTTAAAAACACAAAGACTCAAACTTTGGTTCCACCAAAAGATGCGACAAGCATTGACGGCTCTGGTTGGCTCCCCCTCCCCCCACTAAGGAACGGCCGCCACAGTCTATCTTACATGGTTGTCCATGCGGCTTTGAGGTCACTTGTCCTTGGGTTCTCCTGAACCTGATTTTCTATTTGATTCCCAAGCCCTTTCAATCGCAGTCTTTGTGTGGGTCGGAAGTGCTCAGTGGCAGGCTGTATCTTACAAAAGAACAAGAGTAAGTGGTTCTGTGCACCTGGGATAAGACAAAAAGCACAGAATGACAACCTCAGCGTGATGCAATCAGATAATTTAAAAATATTTAAAGTATTATTTAGTATATCCTTAAAAGAAGACATTTTTAGTACAGTTTGGACAAAAACTTTTAAACAGTGACCATGAAATCATCTTCTTTTTTTTGTATACTTGCATCTCCATGAACATTGAGCCAAACTGGAATTACCAAATCAGAGTGTGATGGTTCGCTAAGCCTTCTATACGTAAAGCCATTGTGTTGGATTCTAGAAGCTCCCATTTGTTGTTGGGCAAACATTAAGACAGCCTGTGGTGAAAGTGACAGACAATTTCATGCTCGGGGGGCTCAGTGGGCCTTGGCTGGATGGCCCAAGTTACATTTACATCTATCTCTCCTGTCCTGGGATGTTAGGGCAACTGTAGAAGTATCCCTGAAAGTTTGTGATTCAGCATCAACGAAACCACTGGATTGGTTATGAACTGGATTTTAGTAACTAATACTAGAAAATGTGAATTAGGCCACAATTTTAGGCCAGGAATAAGAGGAGAGCAGGTGAAGTGTGGGCTTCAGAGCAGGGTAGCCTGGCTCAAATCCTGCCACTTGCTAGCAGTGGGACCACAGATAGCTTACTCTTCTCTCTGCATCTCAGTTTGCTCAGCTGTAGAATGGAGAAAGTAGTAGCACTTCTCTCAGTGGGTTGTTTTGAAGATTAAGTAGGATAATTGACAATGTGCTTTGAACAGTGGGAGCACATTGTCCTTATCAGTGAAGACTCTTGAAAAAGCTTGGTCCTCTTATGTCTGACTACAGATGAGAGAAATGAATATGCCATTCCACTCCCCCTCCCCATCTTCGATCTCTACAAAAAGAAGACACAGAAAGTTCAATTGCAATCCCGCAACATCCTTTTACCTTTCTTTTGTTGTGATTTTTGTAATAATTATTCGATAAGTAAAATAAAACAACGAGAGTTGACCAAAGAGGTAGATATTGTTAGCATAGGAAAAAAATCCTACTTTCAAACTCTCCAGAAGGATGCAAAGTAGTAATTAGTGATGAAGACAATGCAGACATAAGGCAAATGTAGGTGGGTCATGCCCTTGAGTGTTGTACATGATCTTGAGCAGGAAAGGAGAGAGAATGTGACAGGAGATTTGCATGCAAGAGTCACAATTTTAGAGCTGGCAAAGACTTTGATCTGGTTTGGCTGTCACATTTTATAGATGAATGTGAGATACAAAGAGATCAAATGATATTACTCAAGATAACATTGGGAGGTAGTATCAGATTTAGAAGCTAAATTTCTCAAAACTGGCCCAATGATTTAGAAAGACAGAGAAGTGGTTTTAGAGTCACTTCTGACCTGGATTGAATCCTGGCTTTATTACTTATAGCTAAGTGACCTCACTGAGTGAGCCTCAGTGTTCTCATGCATGAATTAGGGATAATAATAGGATCTACTTTATGGAGTTCCAAGGACCAAAAAAGATAGTGTGGCAAAGAATTTGTCTGCTACCTGGCATGGTTAGTGCTCAATACATGGCAGTTGTTATCATTTCCAGCTTGGCCAATGAGTTTCTGTGTGACTATGAATGAGCCATTTCCTGTGATGCACTTTCCACTTATATCAAATGACTTGAGTTCTCTGTGAAATACATGGCTGTTTCAACCAGGTACATGGATGACATTTGCATAACGTTAAATGATGCTTGGAAGAAAAAGAATGTAAAGTAATAACTAAATTAGTGTTGACATGGCATTTTTATTTGGGGTGATTTTACACAGATTACACTGGGGTGTCTGTGCAGGACACAGAAACAACCAAAATAAGGAAGACTGTCAGGAATAATTCTGGTTGTTAAAAGCAATCCCAGATGAAAGAATAATACGCACAAAATTTTGAAATAGTTTTCAAATCGTTTCCATTGTACTCATGAGCTCACAATGAAACAGATACGCAGAGCAGTAGAATGTCTAATCTACTAGGGCTTGTTTTAGGAGGTAGTTTGAAGATAAATAAAATAAACTACACATTACACAGCTGGTAGCTAAACAAATAGAATTCATTGCTCCAAAGGGGACTACACCTTGGTTGAAGAAAGGCTTATATAAATCCATGGGTAATGGATCTTTAAGGACTTACCAAGGGAAAGGTAAGAGTATTCAGTGTATATGCCTAAATTTTGAGATTGGTATTGTTAAGAACAACAATTTGGCTTTTTAAATGGGATTACATAGTAAATAATCAGGGTGGACCTTTATTTCGACTCAACATGGAATTTCTTATGTCCTAATGTAGTGCAAAAAAAGATTTGTAGAGCAGTGATATGTGGCAGTACTTGCTCAGCTTATTAAGTGGATTGCCTGTGGTTTTGAAAAGCTTCCTCCGCTTAATAGTCATATTGGAATCCACTAGGTGGCAAGAACACAGCACACTACCTTAAGGGTCACTCTTGCATAAGACATTAATGCATCAGTCCCTAATTTGGAAACCTGCGGTCACTCAGCAAGACAGAATTTGTCTCTCTCCCTCAGTGTAATGATTTTTATTTTGTAATCTCTCTTGGGGTAATTCCTTGCAGGCTTGGCATGTTGAGAATCAAATACTGCCTCTAACAATATGGTCGTGATTCTCTGCTTGGCTGATTTAGCTCAGCATTTAAGTAACCACTAATCTTCTGAAAGCACCAGGGTCTACTTAGAGAAATCCCTGTTGTCTGCAAGGATGGAAACAAAATCAGCATGGAGGAAGCATTAGTTACTAAACACAAATCAATCTTTTTTTCCACCTAGCTGGATGCTTTGTCACCCTCAGAGGCGTGGTTTCTGGGCAGTGAATCTTCATTTGTAGGTGTAAGAGCAGCTCAGGTCTGACAAGCAAGGAAGATGAGTTGGGGAAGTGGAAGGAGTAAAAAGAGAGTTTATTGAAGTTCCTAAGTATAAATCAAACTACATTCTAATGGATGAATCTCACAAATATGGAGTAAAAGAAGCCAGACACATGTATTGTATGACTTGCATGACTTTATCATTTGTAGACTTTGTTCTACTTCCATTAAAGGTTACTAACAAAAACATCCTAATATATTCTCTTTGGTTTGAAAGACAATTACTTTGACACTTTGGGTTTATCAGCATTCATTTGGATGATTCATGCCTTGTTTTCCTTGATATTCTGGGTTAAAATTTACTGGAATTTGAATGTTCTAAAATTATTCATTTCACACTGCTGGTGCAAACTTGTGTACTGTAATGCAAAATTGCCCAAAATCAACTTCAAATTTAAGAAAAATACTTGAATCTAAAGAATGCAGTCAAGCTTACAGGACCATTTGTGTATGACTTCATGGAGATGAAAACAAAATAACTAATTATTTGACCATCTCTGTTGCAAAAATATCTGCTCACAGAAGACAGGAAATGCATACATTAGAACAGGGGTCCTCAAACTTTTTAAACAGGGGGCCAGTTCACTGTCCCTCAGACCGTTGGAGGACCGGACTATAGTTTAAAAAAAAACTATGAACAAATTCCTATGCACACTGCACATATCTTATTTTGAAGTAAAAAAACAAAATGGGAACAAATACAATATTTGTATTTGCATGTGGCCCGTGGGCCGTAGTTTGAGGACCCCTGCATTAGAAGAAAGTAGGCACTGGATCTAAAGTTAGGAGTCCTGGCTTTGCAACACAGACATAAAAGATCACATCTCTTCACTGTACCTCAGTTCCCTGTTCATAAAATGAAGAGAAAGTATATGAATAAGAGTATGTCTTGGAAAGAGTTTTGAGCTCCAGTGAAATGTGACATAATTAAAACAAATACTAAAGATTACCACTAGTATAAATGATGCAAGAAGTGGGACTGTCATTTGCCCAGAGAAGAGGATGCTTTTGATATGCATGAAAGAAAGAGAAGAAACCATGAGCCTGTATTGTACGATTGGAATTATTTTTGCCAATAAATTCCATTGAGTTGAAAATATGTTCCAGAGGGAAGAAGTGGGAAGAACCATTCTGATGGGAATAGCCAAACTGACAAATGACCACAATCCTAGTTGGCCATGAACATTTACAAAAGCTACCTCTATCATCTTGTTACTTACTTTTCTGATTTAGCGATTCCAATTGTTAAGTCATCCTAACATATTGTTACAGGAAAAAGAAAATCCTGGTTTTTGCATCTCTTACATTCTAATAACTATATGTCTTCTTCCACAAAAATAAAGAAGTTGCTTTTGAAATGTTTAGTTATATTCCGAATATAGTTATTGAATTTTCACTGTGTTCTTTCCCTTAGGAGCCCAGAGTATTTGTCTTTCAAATTGTTGCTGGGGATGCAACCTTGAACCTGGCTTCAGCTATAGAGAAACTATTATTGGTTTAGGGAAAGAATGAAGCAGAAGCTCTCACAGGTCTATAGTGGTCATCTCACCACCTATCAGTAATTCACTCAAAGTCAGATTCAAGGAAGACTCTTTGGAAGCAAGAGCGAGCCTGAGAAGATGAGACACTAAGCATGACTTGCTGACACTCCAGGGGCAGTAATTACTCTCGAGGGGCAGTAACCAGGGTGTCAGGTAGAACCAGAAACAGCAGAAAACCTCAAAACAGAATGAAGATCATTCCTACAGACTGAATAGAGAACTTCTTTCATTTTATAAAAATTTCCATAGAATCTATAAGACCCACTTAGCCGTTCCTTTAGGAAGTCTCATGCCCAGATATAATGAAGTTCATTAGTGTACTGGCTTAAACACAGGATACAGCTTTACCAACCTATTGGGCTATTTCGAAGACATCAATAAAGAACCTGGCCAACCAATACAATCAGGGAGTTCGGGAAAATCGCTTCCCTCCGGCGAACTCACCGTTTAACTTTTGCTGAGATGGGCACCAAGCTTTTCTTTCCTGATCAAGCTTGCTGCATAGGGGATCTGTAAGATAAAAACAAGCAAAACTCTGCAGGTAAGCTAAATTTGGAGACAGATGTGCAAGGGAGACCTTTCGTCATGCCTAACAATTCGAATGCCAGTGGGTCTTCCCTGAGGAGGAAAGGTCTCTATCAGCTCAGCAGTATGGAGCTTTCAGGGCATCACATTCCTAAGGCCTGTTAAAAAGCCTGTTAAAAAGGACAGGTGAACACACTGGGCTGTTGCTATAGCTTGTCTCTGAGGCTACTCTGTGATATTTCACTCACAGAAGTTTTCAAGATTTTGCATTTAATAATATGGTATTCTTATTTTTTATTTAGGTACAAAAACAAAGTTATGTTATCACGTATGTCCAAGGTCACAAAACAAGAACGTGTTTACAAACTAGTTCAATGTAACCTTTCATTTAAGTGGAGTGATGAAATAATACTATCATTATAAATCGCAAGTAAGATTAACTAACTAAACACAAACTACTACTCTGGGTTATTTCCCAATAACTACTAAAGAAGCATCAGAAATAATTGCACTGAATGGAAAATATGACCCTTGAGAATTCTACCTGGATAAACTTGAAAGTACTTGTCACCTCTGGGGCATTGAATGAGAGCCTATCACATTTGATATGCTACTTTTCATTAGAAAATTCAAATGGTTGAAACTGGACGACATATATTATTTAGATTTGCCTCTGCACTAACCCCAGTTAAGGAATTCTATCATTATGTTACTTACCATCATCATTACAAAGCTTAATGCAGAACTCCAAGGATTCGAATCTATTTTATACGCAAAGAAATAACTACTCAACCTTCTAGGATGTTACACAAAATATGGCTATTATGTAAAAGCAACAAGGGAAATAAAATTATTGTCATTCAATTAGGCAATGTTTTTTAATACTTATATATATATTCCCATCATTCCCAGCATATTTATGTTTTGCTCTCCTTTTATACCAGTCCATAAATAAGAACCTTTATTAATGGAAGGAGCTACAAATGTACAATCACATTAGTGACTAAGATTAGCTGGACCATTTTGCTGTAATAACTGGTTAGTTGAATCAAACAGACTTTTCAATGGAAAACAAGATTAAAATAACCATATCACTATTTTTATACACAACCACAACATGGATGTATCTGATAGGTGCATATCTGATAAAGGGCATGGATAGCAGCATTGAAATTAATGATTCATATAGTACCATAAAAAGTTCAGTGTCCTAATCTCGTATTTTAGGACGTGAGCTGAGATCAGCTAGATACCGATGACAAGAACAGTTACATGGGGACCTACTCTAGTTACCTCTTCTTTTCACTCTAGGTCATGCTACACCTGCTATTAACACAGACACACTGAATCTTAGTTTTCCATTGTGGTGCATGCTGCTATATGCCAAAGCACATGGATCACCTCTCCCTAGATGCATGAAAGAACAGAGACTTAAAGGAATTCTGTTATTTAGGATAACAAGCAGAAATTATGCAAACCTTGGGTTACAAGGAATTACCTGAAAGAATATATTTGTGCCCCTCTCAATTAGCAAGAGTCCTCAACATCAAGATTAGATACTGTCAATGATTTAGTGAGCATCTGCTCTGTGCCAGGCACTTCTTGTATAGTTAAGTCAACATCACCCTGGGCTATCTCATCCTACCCCAAAGAAAACTGTCAGAAGGGCACTACTTTTAGATCTAAATCAGAATTCTTTTCTTTTCTTTCCTTTCCCTCCCTCCCTCCCTTCCTCCCTCCTTCCCTCCCTCCCTTCCTCCCATCCCTTCCTCCCATCCCTTCCTTCCTTCCTTCCTTCCTTCCTTCCTTCCTTCCTTCCTTCCTTCCTTCCTTCCTTCCTTCCTCCCTCCCTCCCTCCCTCCCTCCCTTCCTTTTTTTTCAGAAACAACAATGTAGCATTTCATTAAGATGGAAACCTGAGAAGGAACAAAGGACTCAGGACAAAGAGAGGACATTTCCAAGTGAGAACATTTGATCCCAAATCTCCAGGTTGGAATTTAAACCTGGGTCAGGAATTATCTCCACTCAAACATTTACTGTTGCATTCCCCCTGCCCACCCCCTCACTAAAACAAGATGAAATAAAAGCTAAACAAAAACAAGACAAAAAGCAAAAGGTTGCAAGCTAAAAATCATGTCTTTTTTACTCTAAGTCCTAAATCATGAATGGTAAATAAACAATATATTAGAACATGACCCAGTTGTTAATGAGAGCTACCCTATTTCATTGATTCTATTAATACACTTTCCCCCCTCACATTTTAACATCTCTAAAATTGGGTTTTTATAATTGATGGTGTCTTAGAACAAGAGTCGAAAGCTTCTTTTCTTGTGATCCATCAAGTCATGTTGCCTCTTACAATTGACAATACTTAAGATTCCATGAAATGCAATATTGGGTTTACAGAGACCTCAGCAAATACTCCAAGCATGGGAGCTCAGGATCCTAGGGGCTCCACTTAAGTTAATTATTCCACATAAAGTTCCTGTAATAGAACTTACAAAAGCTTTCTTTTCATCTGGACCAGCTTACACGTCACCAAGACTGGCATGGACAAAAACACCCCTTAAAGTTATTATGTAACTTCTAAATTACCTAGTTGACTCTAGTCTGTCAAAAGTATGGAGAGCTTTCCAAAAAAGATAAACTTCTTAGTTTGTGCCAAGAGAGAGTTAGCCTAAGCGCAGACATTCAGGTGGGTCAACATCTTGAAGGGAGAAAGAAGAGAAGAGGCCATATAACTAAGGAACAAAGTAATGTTATTGTCAAGATGCATAGCAATAGATCAATAATTGGAAAAGGTCCCGGTATAGCCCAAGTCTGTCAACTGCTGGAGAACCTTAAGGCAGACTCTGCAGAAGCCCAGACTTGCTCAAGTCCTCTGACGCACAGGACCTCCTTTAGTTTCATATTTAGCCACAAAACCAAAATCCTCTAATGGCCCAGAGTTATTTTTTTTGAAAATTATAGTGCAAAAAAAAGTAA